GGCTCGTTTAGCACCAAGTTCGAAGAAAGCAGTTCGTGCAACTCGACAAACTTGCCAGCAACGATCTGGCTCACAAGTTTTGCAGGCACCGGTGAAAAGCCGGGGCCCACGACAAAGGGCTGCTGCAAAACAGGCGTCTGGGCCAGTGAAGAAATACCACCGACGCTAGGCGAAGTGGTCACGGCGGCAGTATTGGTAGAAAGCGTAACGGCGGATATCGGTGAGGCAAATGTAGTAACAAAAGCAGGTACAACAAAATCAGGCCTACCTTGGACTGTGGCAGCAGAAACAGCCGGTGAGACCGACGAAAAACCAACGCCAGAGGCTGCCAAGCTTGAGGCTTGGGCATCGAGTTGGCCAGTAGAAGACGAAGATGAACACGAACCAGGAACGCCCCCGGGCGAGGCCGCCATTGGCACGCTCAAAGCAAAACTAGTGGCAGGCGTTGAAGGAAGATTCGAAGTTTGCTCGGCCGCTAGCGCTTGCTTGACAGCACTTACAACGGCGGCCAAAAAGGCAGGAGAAGGCTGGTCTGACATAGGTGATTGGGACGTTGCAGATGGGTCTGCTGAACCTGGACTAGGCAAACTAGAGTTCGCCGCCGAACTGGACGGGTTGCTTTCAGCAGGAGAAATCATGGCATCAAAAGCCGCCGCTTGGCTACGTGTTGGCCTGGACGTCATATCGTAGCAGAATGCTTTCTCGCGGCAAACGAAGGGAAGAACAGCAATAAACCGAGCAAGAATCCGCAATGATTCGCAATAGCAAAGCGTTTGATCCGCAAAGATCAGCTGATAACACTGCACGTGTAAAGCAATGAACCTCGAAATCCTGTGAAACCTCTAGAGGCCACCCCAAAGGTCACGTGCTGCAGATGGGGGAGACCGCTGGCTGCATTTGCTCACATTTTAACTTTGCCTAAATGATATTTAGCCACATAAAAACTATGTTGTACATTATAGAAATTTAAGACAATATCTTGAAATGGGAATGAGACTAACTGCTGTTCACAGAGGAATATCATTCAATCAGAGTTCTTGGATGGAGCCTTACATCAGAAAGAATACAGAACTTAGAAAAACAGCAGCTAACAGTTTTGAGAAAGACTTTTTTAAACTAATGAATAATTCCGTATTTGGAAAAACAATAGAAAACATAAGGAAACAACAAAATATAATACTTGTTGATAATCGCCAGAAAGCTGCAAAATTAACAAGCCGTCCAAACTTTGATAGAGCAACAATATTTGATAAAAGTCTTATTGCAGTTCATATGAAAAAAACTGAAGTGTATTTTAACAAACCAGTATACGTTGGACAAGCAATTCTAGATCTGTCAAAAACATTAATGTTTAATTTTCATTACAACTATATTCAAAAGGAAATATAATCACAGGGCTGAGTTATTGTTTACAGATACTGATAGCTTGATGTATCAGATTTATACAGATGATTTTTACAAAGATATATCCCATGACATAGAAACCAAGTTTGACACATCTGATTATCCTCCTGACCACCCATCTGGAATACTGACAGGAGTTAACAAAAAAGTTATTGGTATGTTTAAAGATGAAGTAGCAGGAAAACAGATTACTTATTTTGTTGGATTGCGGCCCAAGCTATATACTTTTAAAATAGAGGAAAGTAAAGAAGTTCGTAAATGTAAAGGTATAAAGAAAAATGTTGTAAAAAAGAGTATAGAATTTGAAGACTATGTACAGTGTTTATTTTCTGGTGAAAAGCAAATGAGAACGATGAAAATTATAAGAAGTGAAAATCATGATATATATTCAAAAGTAGTAAATAAAATAGCTTTGAGTAATGAAGATGATAAATTCAGTGTGGTGGAGGATAAAGTAAAAACACTTGCTTTAAGATAATAAGATATATAATAATAAATGTGTTATACAAAAGAAGAGATAGAACGATATTTGGAAATATTAAGAAGTTATAATAATACCCAATCAGAAGGGGAAAAAAATACGAAAGTTAGATGTAGGAATTGTCAAAGCGATAGTTTCTTTGTTGAATCAGGTTATAATATTTGTGATTATTGTGGGTTAACTAATGGTCATGTTCTTGGTTATTTTGACTTGAAAGAGTACGATCGATTACATTTTCGAAAGAAGAGTATTTATCAGAGAAAGTACCACTATGAGAAAAAGGTTGATCAAGTTTCCAGAAGACTACACCTAACTGAGGATCAAAAGTGTGAACTGTACAATGAACTAATGAATATAGATAACCATGTCATAGAAATACTAAACAAACAATTTTGTAGAAAGAGAATGATAAGCATTTTTTATCTGATCAAAAAATTTCTGGAAGAAATGGGTTGTGAAAAGAGCAAACTAGTTTATCTAAAGATTTCCGACCAAACTATGAAGAATTATGAAAAGTGGTGGGATAGTTACAAATCACTCCTTTGTGAAAGCACCAGTAAATAA